CTCTGAGAGCTGTCTGCCAGCAAACATTTATTAGCATGAAGCCCCTGGGTGTCCAATGCTGGGCTGGGCTCTGGGGGGCATGGGGCATCAGCAATATAGCTGCTGGGTGCCCATCCAAGGAATGCCAGGCACAGTGCCAATTGTAACACTAATTAGCACTAGCAATTAAATTAATTGACTAGTTAGTTAAATTGAAGGTGACAGGGAAAGAGGTCTTGAGTCAGAAGCAGAAGAGACCCAACTTTCTGTCCTGATGATGAGAGAAACTTTGGATCTCCAAGCAAATCTCTCTCCCTCTCTGAATTTCAATGTGCTCATCTGCAAAATGCACATGTAAAATGCACCCACCTTTGATTCTCATCTCCAGGGAGATAGTGGATGGAAAGGATTTTGAAAACTCATTGTGTGCCTGTGAAACCTGGATAGCATACCAGGGCTTTTGTTTTAAATCATTTTAAGGAGATTCTGAAGACCTCCTGGCAAGATAAGGTCCTGGACATTGAGGTCCTTTCTTGAACTGAACTGCCAACCACTCAAATTCAACTGCAGAGATCAAAGATCCGATGGGCTGGCCACCTCACATGGAGGTCAGAAGTGATACAAGGACACTTTCAAAGTCTCTCTGAAGAACTTAGGAATTGATTGCATGACATAGGAGACACTGGCACAGGACCACCCAGCATGGCATGCCCGCATCAAAGACAGTGATGTGCTCTATGAGCAAAGCAGAATTAAAGTAGCTCAAAAGAAACATGAAATGAGCAAATTTGGAGAAATCTCTACATTTCTTTACCTTGTGGGTTACCATGACCAAAACAGCATCACCCCAATGGCCATCTAGTGGTTGGAGAACAGTGATAGACCCACAGAGCTGGAGTATAGGATCTGTGTAGGGCAAGAGCAAAGACAGGGCTGGTAAAGTTGTTTGGGCCTAGACTGTGCAGAGCCTTGCATTCGGAGCTAAGGAGTGTCTGAAGGGGTCAGTTCTGGGTACCACCATCTTCAAACAGGACAATGGTAAAATAGAGATCATCCAGGGGTGGGTGACCAGCACCAGGAGGAGCCTGGATTCCACGTCACAAAAACTGGAGGGTATTTAGCCTGGAGAAGATAGGACTTAAGGGGAGTTGGAGGCTGTATTCAAGGACTTGAAGGACTTTCTAGAGGAGGAGGGAAGAAACTTCAATTCAGGAATGGCTCTGGAAGATGGAGCCAGGCAGCTGGCGAGAGCCTGGGAAAAAGGCAGGAAAACAGAGACAGTGCCTGCCCAAACTCAGGTTCTGCTCAGTAAACACAGCAGGTACAAAAGGAACTGCAGCAGATATACCAGTGATACAAAGGGGTTGCAAGAGGGACAGCACTATAATTAAGGGTCTCAGGGAAGACCTCCCCGGGAGGTGGCCCCAGACACCTGGCGCTTTGGAGGAGGCTGAGAATGCTGAGGATGGGAGTGGGGGAGGGAGGGGAAGCCCCACAGGCAGATGGTGGTGAGGGTGAGGGAGAGGGAGAGGAAGAGCCCTGAAGGCAGACCCAAGGGAGAGGAGCAAAGCAGGGAGGGAGAGCCTGGCAGGCTGACCAGAGGGAGAGGAGCAGACACAGCTTGACAAGCTAGTGCAGAGAGGGAGAGGGTGATGGGCAGTGAGTGAGACGGGCATTCAGGTAGGAAGTGAATGGCCCATTGCAGAGAACATCAAATGGCAGCCTGAGGAGTTTGTATCTAATCCTGAAAATGAGAGGGAACTCCCAACAGATTGGTGAGCAGGGAGGTGCCAGTCTGTGTCTCAGGGATGTCCACTGGACATTGGTGTGGAGGATGGATTGGAGGGGAAGAGATCAGAGAGGACACTCGTGATAGCCCAGGTGTGACGTGATGTAGCAGACACTGGGGGAGGGGTCGTGTGATCTCAGAGAAGGAAGTTCATGCTGGAGACTTTCTGGGGATGTATACTCAACACCAGTCAGTGACTGATTGGATTGAGTATGTGGAAGACAGAAGAGCTGAGGATAACTGAGGGATAGGCTTCAGTGACTGGAAGGGTGGGAGCACTCTCAATAGATATGGGGAAGCTAACAGGACGTATTGGGTATGAGACACGCATGGAACCTGCAGGTGGTCAGAGGAAGGAGGCTGGGTGCATGGATTTGGGAACCATTGTGTAGATGAAAATTAAAGCCATGGCATAGGCATGGATGAGAACACCAAAGGAGATTTATTTTTTTTTTGCTTGGCCTTGGGGACAGAACCAGGAGTGGTGGGATAAGAGCTATCCCCAAATGGTACATGGTTGTCCTGCCCCCCCATGACTTATCACTTGTCCAGAGGGAATGGTGGGGAGAGGGGGCCACAGGACAATAGATGTAGAGCTGGAAGCTATCCCAGAGGTCCCGTAGTTCAACTCCCACTGTTTTACAACTGAAAACCTTCAGCCCAAAGAAGGGACAGACTTGCCCAGTGCCCCAAAGGGAGTGAGTGGCAGCACCAAGGCCCTGGTGTTTCTGCACCTTTCTCAGAGCCCTACTTGATGTGTCCTGGATGGGCAGACTAGTGATTTTGGGGTGTGGGAATTCCCTTTGGTTTTGTTGGCAGGTCCACCCACACAATTCTCAGCCTGGCCATAAAGAAGAACCTTAGAAAATCGCCTGAGGTGCAGAGAGGTTCAAAGCCCATGCTATGATTCCCACAATGACAGGCTGTAGACAATCCCCAAGCCCCGGCAATCTAGCTCCCAGGTAACCCCAGCTCCAAGCTCCTGGGCCAGGGGGCCAAGACCCTCCTAAAGGGGAGAACCCTCAGGCACTCAAGGGGCAGACACAGGCTTTCTTCTGGGAAAGGCACCATCACTGCCCTCCTTGTTCCCAGAGTTGGGCCCCGCCTTTTCCTGACTGCAGGTAAGTCACCAGAGTTGGTAAACATTCCTCTGCCACAGCAGCCTCATTTCCTCACCTCTGCCCTAGTTGGGCAGACTCCATGCCTGTGCCTTATTCCTATTCTGGGGCTTTCCCAGCAAGCACCCAGATGAGTGACCAGTCGGGCTGCTGAGGGCAGGTGTGTGACCACCAAATGGCCATCAGCAGAAACTGCTCCCAGCACATCCCTTGGAAGTGTCCCATATGAGTAGAGCCCAAAGCTGGATGCCCCACTTTCCACTGACCTCGCTTTTGGGAGGCAGTGGTGAGGTGGGGCCAGAGCCGTTTGGAGAAGGTTGTAAAGGAAGATCTGGGATCAAGGGAGAGTGGGACCCCACCTCCCCAGAAGAGCCTGGGGGTTCTGGGACACTGTACCTGCTTTCTTCTCTCCTCCAGTGCCCAGAAACAATGGTCAAGGTGGTAGGAGTTATTAGGAACCCTCCCCAGTGGCTCAAGAACTGCTTAGTATAGCCAGAGGTTCCACTGTCTCTTTCTGGATACCTTACTCAGCTTTTTAATCCAGGAGCAGCAGGAGAAAGACGAGCCCACTGTCAAAGTGGCCCCTTTTCTGATGATGGCTCATGATGCCTTCCACCATTTCTCTCCTCTTCCTCTGACCCCCTCCCTCCTCAAAAAACAAAACCAAACCAAACCCTGGGACAAGAACTACAAGGGAACCCAGTAGCAGTCCCCCCCTCCCTGCCCACCTCACAGTCCAGGGCCCCCAGCTACTGTCTGCCATCCACTTGGGTTTCACTCCCAAATTCCTGGGGAGCAGAAAAGAAAGGACAAAGAAAAGGTCCAGTGAGTGGGGCGTGAGTCACAATTGGGAATCTTCCTGGCATGACGGAATGATTCAGTCAGTCCGACAACTGTTTACCGAGTGCTGGTGATGCTCACAGCTTAGAGCGATAGATCTACTAGGTAGGAGACCTGAACCTGGGTCCAGCCCCTGCTGCCTTCTCCATGACCCTGAGCAAGGGTCACTTCCCCTCACTGGGCCTCAGTCTCCTCATTTGTCAATGGGAATAATACATAATTCCCTCTGCTGGGAATTCCTCATTCTGCACCTACTATCGACCTGCCAGCATCCACCATAGAGATTGCAAAGTGCTTTTCCTAGGAGGTTCACTATTTGAGCCTCACAATAACTGGGCCAAGAAGGGGCTACAAACGTTCAATTGTCCCCATTTTCTGGATGAAGAAACCGATACTGGTTCATTCAGCCACTTAGTGTGAGGTAGAGTTTGAACCCAGGTCTTCCAGACTCCTGCTCTTTACTCTCCAGCGTCACCTCATAGTGGTGACACCGTCTTTGTTAATCAATCGTTGGGAATCATCCAGGCAGGAGAAATACGGTCCTTAGGGAGTCCTGGTCACCCGGGTCTAGCAAGGACAAAGGCGCAGAAGTTGGACAGGGAAAGACGGCCGGTGTTGCACCTCAGGGAAGTTTCATACAGTTGTGTCGAGGCTCAGGCGGGAAGCCACCGGGCAGAGGGTGACCATAAAGACTGGAAAGGGAGAAAAAGGGGAAAGGGGGAGGGGTAGGCTAGCCCAGCAAGGCCTCCGGTCCCGGCTGCGGAGCGCGGAGGTCACGGAAGGTTTGTGGGCGAATGAAACACCATCGAGGCCGTGAGGGTGCTGGCTGACCCTGGGCCGGAGTCGGGATCGGATAGAGCACGCGAAAGTCTCCGAGCGAGGCTAGGGCCTCAGGGGACCCGCGTGTCACCCACGCCCGCCACTGTCGCCCCTCCTCAGCACCGCCTCCCACGTGCCATGGCGGGACTCCAAACAAGCTACACGGGAGGGGCTGTTTACCCCAACCAGTGGTCTCCTCCGATTGGCTGCTGCCAAAGGCTGCCCCAACGCGGACCAATGGGCGTGCGCGGTCCTCTTGGCTCCCAGGTCTGGGGGGGGGGGCGGGGGGCTCCCACTCCAGTCAGTTCCCAGCCCCTGGGAAGGTATGGGGGGGGGGCGAGGAAGAAGCCCCTGGAGCTGATTGGTGAGTTTGCGTTCCAGGCCTGCCTTTCCCTGGGGCGTCACAGAGCCCCGTGGGCGGGCCCGAGGCTCGGTGGGGACCGACAAAAGCTCGGGACGCGCAGGGTCCGCCAGAGGCGGAGTGGCCCGACCCAGCCCTGGACGCTGAAGTCGAAGATTAAGCAGCCGCCGGAGCTGGAAGCAGGTATCAGATCCGTGCACTGAGAGACCCACGCGAGCCTGAAGCCAGCGGGGTCCGAGCCGCCTGCCCACGACCCCACGAGTCCCGAACAAGCCCGTGAGCCCGCGAGCTCCCAGCCCCGCAGCCCCCAGAGCCCACCGCCTTCCAGGTCGCAGCCCCGAGCCAAGCCTCCAGAATGCGAGCTGCGCGCATCGTGCTCCGCGGAGCCTCCGGCCCGTCGGCTGCCGCTGCGTCCGTGCCCCCAGTCCCGCGGGCAGTGGAGCGCTTCTCCCGCTACAGCCCGTCCCCGCTGTCCATGAAGCAGCTGCTAGACTTCGGTGAGCCGGGGCTGGGCTCGGAGTGCGGGACAGCGGGCTGGAGCTACGGTCCCTGGGGCAGATTGTTCTAGAGAGCCCCACGTCCCCTCCATTCCCACCGTCTCGTGTGCCCGGTGGTGGCACTCACCGGTAGAGTGACTGGGGTGGGGTGGGAGGGAGGCGGAGAGAGAAGGGACAGGGAGTGAGCCTCCTCCCCGGAGACGGGCCCCTGGGGCTCCAAGTCAAAGGCTCGGGGTCTCTGAGGGGAATCGGACCTGGATCAGAAGGAACCTCAGTTGTGTGGAAGGAGCTGGCAGTTGAGGGGAGCAGCCAGTGGAAGGAAGGGGTGGGGACATTACCTCTCCGGGTGCCACTAGGCCGTCAGTTCCTCGGTAGCGTCCTGCCCACCAAAGCTCGTGTGTGCCCAGAGGGCGGTGGTCTGGGTGCCCAGTTTACCCAGCAGTGTTTGTTCAGGCCCCAGGAGCAAGGGCGCAGACAAGCCACTCCTCACTCCCTCCACCCCAGCCCCCAAGGAATAAACAAGACCGTTCCCCCTCCAGGCTCGGAAAACGCTTGCGAGAGGACCTCTTTCGCCTTCCTGAGACAAGAACTTCCCGTGAGGCTCGCCAATATCTTGAAAGAAATCGAAATTCTCCCTGATCGGCTCGTCAAGACCTCCTCCGTGCAGCTGGTGAAGAGCTGGTGAGTGGCGGAGAGCCCACCCACTGGGGGTGCTGTCAGTCATTCAGGACCCCATAAGCTGGGCCCGGGGCTCCACGGGAGGTGTAGCACGGCTTTCCCCAATAATGCTGCCTGGCCCTGGGCCCTGCACATAGAGCACACAGCACACTGTCACCAGTTAGGAGGCTGAGGGAAGCAATGTCATCCCAAAGTGAAGTGTGTGGAGGGGAAGACAGATGCCAGTTCCTGGACTCCCTTAAGGGACAAGCGTCCCAGGAAGAGGCAGGCACTGCTTCTCAGGTTTTTGCCTGCCTGAGGTTTCCCAGCTAATGTGCCCCCCTCCACCTCACCTTTACTCTCCTGGAGAATTCCTGGGGTGATATCTGGAGTTATCTGAGAATGTTTCCAGAGCCTGCACTGCCCCAGAGAGGTGAAGGGAAAAGGAGCCCAAATGCCAGTTCCACATCCAGGCTCAGAAGGAGGCCTCTTAGGGGAGCAGGCAGCCAGGCCACTGGTGCCTCCCCAGGCTTGTCCAGATGGAGTGAGAAAATTTTAGGTAGAAATTGGCGGGGGTGGCCACAGGGAGGGGGTGGTCAAAACAATCATGAGCACACAACAGTCTCCTGCCAGAGAAGGTGCCCAGCTAGGAAAACAAAGGGGCAAACCCCCTTCCTCCCTCCAATATCTGGATACCAAGGTGCTTGGGCTGACTAGCTTTGGGGGCTGCTCTGAGAGTGTTTGGGGGCAGCCCTGCCCAGAAAGCTTTCCTCCAGAAGCCTCAGTGGGAGTCAGGACCCTCTTGGTGCTCACAAGATTGTACTGTTGCTTTCAGAATTCCTTTCTGCCAGCACACTTGTTTTTAAAAAATCAGATGCATTTCATTTTTGACTCCAAGCTATTCCCTCTCAGGTACATCCAGAGCCTCATGGATTTAGTGGAATTCCATGAGAAGAGCCCAGAGGACCAGAAGACTTTGTCCGAGTAAGTGATCTTTTCCAATTAGAGAGATTCAGTGAGTCAGTCCACACCGGTACTGGTTCATGCCAGACCTTGTGCTGGGCATTGGGGAACACAGCTCGTATTTTTCGGGGCTCTTGGATCCAAAGGTAGAGACATTTAACCCATCTGGGGCCCCAGTTCTGTCATCCACACCCCCTGCCCACCTTTGCAGAGGAGAGGGGTAAGTTTTCAAGTGCTGGAGAGTGAATCCAAAAAGTCTGATGCCTAGCAATTGGCCAGGAGGGGTAAGCAGGTGTGGGTGGCCTGGCTTCCTTTGGGGAGGCCCCAGTTGGAGACAGAAAAGCTCCCTGTTGGGTAACATTGTCCCTTGAACACTGATCTGCGAGTGCTTAGGCCATGTGGCCCACATGCCAATGGGAGAACTCAGAGGGATAGATAAAACCAGCCCAAAACTGGTGTTCTGAGTGCTGGGATTGTCCTGCTGTGAGTGACTCACATCTCCTGGCAGCATGGACAGCCACAACTGCTATGGCAGTCCTTGGGGTATGTCAGGTCACTCTGGTCCACTCTCAGGACCAGGATGCTCTGTCCTGCCTCAGCCTCAGGACTCAGGGAGGTTCTGAAGGACAAGGGAAGCCCTTTCCCGATGAGGGGCAGATATGGCTGCGAGGCTGGGCCTAAAGCCACAGGTGTGCCCACACCTCCTCTGTGATTGGGCTAAGGAAACTCCCTCGGGCTCTTCCTAACCTTGCTTCGGCTTCAGCTTTGTAGATGCGCTGATCAAGGTCCGGAACAGGCATCACGATGTGGTTCCCACCATGGCCCAGGGCATCATTGAGTACAAGGATTCCGGTGCTGTTGACCTTGTCACCAACCAGAACCTCCAGTACTTTTTGGACAGGTTTTATATGAACCGCATCTCCACTCGAATGCTCATGAACCAGCATAGTGAGTTTCTTGGCTTTTCCTACTAAACCAATTCAGAATAAGGGACTTGGAGGGAGGCGCCAAATTTTTCCTTTTCTAATGACTGTGTCAAATGCTCTCCCTTCAACAGTTCTCATATTTAGTGACTCGAAGACAGGAAACCCAAGCCATATCGGAAGCATCGATCCCCACTGTGATGTGGTTGCTGTGGTCCAAGGTACAAGTGCCAGCCTCTGGCCTGGGGGAGGGAGATGATTCTTTCTGCCTCATGACAATATGGCCTGGGGCGCTGGAGTCAGAAGTGTGAGAGATGTTTGCCCTCTGGGCCACGATGAATATCAGGCAGCACAGAGCTTTAGACAGGAGGGCAGGGAAGATCTTGGAGTGTCTGAAGCTCCCAGGTGGCCCCTAATAATGAAGTCTTGTGGGATGCAATGGAGAACCCCCTCCCCACTCTGCCACTGAAAATGAAGTGATGGACCCTCTATGTTGCAGATGCCTATGAGAGTGCCCGCATGCTCTGTGATCAGTATTACCTCGTTTCTCCTGAACTGAAGCTAACACAAGTGAATGGTAAGTTCTAGAACAGACATTCACCCCACAAGAGCAGTGACTTGAGCACAACCAATCCTCCTTTTCATCTCCCCTGGCCATAGGCTCAGCTGGGAGAGCCCAGCTTCAGTCTAAGCACGAATACCCTTTCCCAGTTACTTGGGAGAGGGCTCAGCTCCAGGGGAGGTTAGCTAGCTATGTAGCTAACATGTTAGACATGTACCCACTTCTTTGAAGACTAAGGTCAGAGCATGAATTTCGGCTGTGAGTGGGCAAGCAGAAGCGGATGAGTCCAGGCAGGCTCTTGACCCTGAGTGCATTCGAAGGGACTCGGGATTCTGGAACATTCAGGCACAAACCTGGATTCTGGAACACTGTTCAGAGCTCTGGGGTCAGATGCAAATGAGGTCAGAGTCCAGGGCTAGAAAGAAAGACTCATGTCTTTCCGGAGTATAGAAGGGGTTTTTTTTTTTCTTTGTACATTAGCCTGTTGGTGAAACTTATACCTAATTTGTATATGGAATTTAATACATGGCTTATAGAAAACTAACCAAGCCTTAAGTTTTGATATTGCAAGTGAAAAATGAAAACACGGGACCAACCAGCTTAGGGTTAGCATGTGATTTATTTTCTTCTCTATCTTCTTTTCTGTTCTTTTTTGGGGGGGGTAGGCAGTGGGGTTAAGTGACTTGCCCAAGGTCACACAACTAATAAGTGTTGTGTGTCTGAGGCCGGATTTGAACTCAGGTCCTCCCGAATTCAGGGCCGGTGCTCTATCCACTGTGCCACCTAGCTGCCCTGTTTTCTCCTCTATCTTGATCTATGTAAAGTCAGTGTAGGGTAGTAGATAAGGCTGGGCTTGGAGTCAGGACAATTGGGGTTCATGTTCTGTCTCTGGTGGTTAGTTGTGGCGATGTGACACTGGGCAAGTCCCTTCTCACTGACTGACTCATAGAAGGTTCAAATCTGCTCTGCTTTGCCAGAGGGATTTCCCACATTCAGAATTCTCAATGTGGACAAAACTCTAGATCCTCTCAGTGTGTCTGTGGAATTTCCCCTGCCCACAATGTTCAGCTCGCCACAGGAGGTCCAGTGCCTGGAGGCTGCGCCCAGCCCCAGCCCCTCAGATAAGGAGGGTTCCTCATCCTGCTCTGGCCGGGGCATTGGACGAGTGAAACAAAGTGTCCTTGCAGGTGTGGGTATTCCACTTAGTGGGAATGGACTTTATTCTTTCTAACTGAAGCCCTTCTTTTCCAGTTGTCAGATGATTTGCTTTCTTTCTTCACAGGTAAAGTACCTGACCAGCCCATTCACATCGTCTATGTCCCCTCACACCTTCACCACATGCTATTTGAGCTCTTTAAGGTAAAGCACCCCCCCCCCACCAAGAAAGATGGGCCTCCCACTCCCAGATGTCCTGGGCTCTCCTGAGTGCCTTCTGTCAAATGCTCTGCCCCTTAATCCTCACTAATGTCCTCATGCCATTCCCAGGGTGGTGGGTACCCCTTCAGGGCCTCAGGGCACAGGCAAACTAACCCGGCAACAGTGCTACGGTCATCCGGCCAGCCAGCCTGCCAGCCAGCCAGCCATTCATTCTCTGCTTCAACAAGGAACATCCCAAATGAGATGCCTCATCCCTGCTCCAGATCCTGATCTCTGGGTGGGCTTTAGGGGCTTCCCTGTGGTCTAAGAGAGTCTTCATTCACGATGTGGCAGGGTATGAGCGGGTGTAGTCAGGTAGACTCAGAGGAAATAGAAAATTTCCCAACCACTCCCTCCCCTGGACTGGTGGAGGGGAAGCCTGGGGACAAAGAGGACTCTGCCTGGACTGAGTCAGTTCGGTGGTTTGTCCTTGGCTTCTGCCCATGTGCTTATCCTCTCCCCTGCCACCTCTGGACACCTCTGGGCATCATCATGCCTCCTGTGGAAAGAATGGTACAAGAGCTCATTCTCTTCCCCGGTGTGCATATGCATGCATCAGGGCTTCCATAACAATGAATCTTGGCCCAGTGCCTTGAGCCTGGAGCTGCCCCCTGCAGAGACTATGCCCACAGGAGAGACTCAGACTGCAAAAGTAAGAAGTTCAGCCACCAGTTTTAGTTTATATTAGGCCAAAAATATAAATAGGCTTGAAATCTTGTTCCCTTCCCCTTAACTGCCTCAGGCACAGTAAATCGCTGAGCTTAAGCTGTCCTAGGGCTGCTGAAGGAATGAGGAGATGGCCTGGGCTGCTTCGGGGGCCCTTCCAGGAGCCAACAAAACCTCTGGGCTTTTTCTTCCTCAGCAAATCATGTTTGTGATTTTTTTAAGCAAATATTTAACCAGATCAAGTCGTGCAAGGCTAACTCTTGAGTAAATCTGGGGATTTGTTTTTTTGCCTTGTAGTCTTTGGCTGTCACCCCCTCCATACGTAGCAAGAGGAGAGGAAAAGAAAGGGAGGGGGGAAATGCACTATTCAAACACCTCTAATGCTTGTTTATGAGCTTGAGTCTAAAAAAAGATTCACTAGCAGCCACAGCATAATCTTCCCTTCCATGATTAACCTCGTGAAATACAGGCAGGCAGAGCCAATGTGTTGTCCCCCCTGCTCACCCCACAGAACCCTAACCCTAATTGTGCCCAGCGTGTCAGAAAGGGGTCCCTGCTGTCCTTCCCTGCTGTTACGTTCCCTTTATTTTAAATGGAACAAAGTATCACAGTGCACCGTCTATCCTGAATGTTGATGTGGGAGCTTTGAGCCAGGAAATCTTGGGAGTTTGAAGGTCTCCTTGGTTGTACCCCCAGAATGCCATGAGGGCTACAGTGGAACACCAGGAACACCAGCCATCCCTGACACCCATTGAAGTGACTGTGGTCCTAGGAAATGAAGACCTGACCATCAAGGCAAGTACCCAGTCCTTTGCTTTGGGGTCGGCGGGTGGGGGCCAAACCAAGTCAGTGACAAAATACCTACCAAGGTTATGTTGACCAAATGGCTTTGAAATGGTTGGAGGTAGCTTGGGGGGGGAGTAGGGCTCTGGATCTGGGTCATTGAGAGTTTGCCTTTTTGGTGCAGATTTCAGACCGAGGGGGTGGTGTTCCACTGAGAATCATTGACCGCCTCTTCAGTTACACCTACACCACTGCCCCAACCCCTGTGATGGATAATTCCAGGAATGCTCCTTTGGTAAGAGGCGTCATCTCTTGTGACTGGGGGAGGGAGAGGGCTTTGATGAGCAGGAAGTGACTGTGGTCTCTCCAGTGTAACCCCCTCGTTTTAGAGATGATTAGGAAGAATGGCTGCAAAAAGGATGGAAAGAATTAGCCAACCAAAAGGAGCCAGAAGATCTGAATGGGGAAGCTCCAGTGAGGGCCTGTGCTGAAGGAGAACATTGATCTCCCAGCGCTCTGGGAATGGGGGTCACCCACACTCTCCAGGTGACCAAGACCCATGTCTCTCTTTCTCTTCCCCAACCCCAGGCTGGTTTCGGGTATGGCTTGCCAATTTCTCGTCTCTATGCCAAGTACTTTCAAGGGGACCTAAGTCTCTATTCGTTGTCGGGGTATGGAACAGACGCAATCATCTATTTAAAGGTACAGCTCATGGGAACCAGCATGTGAAAAAGAACCCTAAACAACCACCTTCATCCTTTTAAAATGGAGAGGCAGTCACCTACCCTGAGCCAGGGACATGGCACCCAGAGTCTTTTCATCTGTGCTAGGCTAGGATGAGACCTCAGGTTCAGCTGTTTGTGCTGACACCCACTCCGTGTGAGGTCACCCACATCTGAACATCCCTGGAAAAGCCAGAGCTTCTGAGCGATCATGCTAGTGATACTCCAGCTGACAAAGGGCAGCTCAGGTTACCCAAGGCCTGCATCTGACCTTACCAGAGACTCATCGGAAGGAAATGGGGTGCTTTGTGGGTGTGGGAAACCGTCCACGCTTCCCAAGTCAGCTCTTAAGGGGGCAGGGAGGAGGGCAACATTTTCTCTACTTCTGATCATCCCTTGGGTAAGGTCACTGTCCCAGTGTGTGAATCCCTCACCAGTTAACAAATTGTAAATATCTACATCTGAACATCAGAACTCCAGGGTCCCATCCAAGGCCTCCTCTAGTCTAGCTCCCCCTCCCCAGTGCCTCCCACAGGCAGCATATCTGGGGAGAGGGTGTCCTTGGAGACCCAGGTACAGACTGGGAGCCCTGGGGGTGGGGGGATGGGCTTGGTTGTCCAGCTCCTGGTGCTGGCTACTAGGTCTCTAGCACTGGTCTCTGCTGGAGGCAGCCAGGGGAGCAGTCAGCTCTTTTCACTCTCACTGCTCCCACAGATGTTTTATTAATCGTCTGTTGTATATGATGAATGAATGAAGACTTAGGTGCTTACCATGTTGGCTTAGCACTGGGGTTATACACAGAAAAGCCAGACAGTGCCTGCCCTCAGGGAGCTCCCATTCTAATCAGGAGACTACAGCAGGGAAGATTTCAGCTGCCCGGGGTTGGGCAGCTCCTTCCTGCATCCCAAGGATAAAAACACAAAACTTGCACCCCAAGAATCCTGGGGTCCCCGCTAATGTATGTGTCTTCCTTATGTGCAGGCGCTGTCTTCTGAGTCCATAGAAAAGCTCCCTGTTTTCAACAAGTCGGCCTTCAAACACTACCAGGCAGGTCCAGACTCAGGGGACTGGTGTACCCCAAGCAAAGAGCCGAGGAACCTCTCCAAGGAAAAGATGGCCATGTGAGCAAGGTTCCAACCAGACTGCTTCAGAAAACATGGGGCTCCAAACTTTGGTGGGAACAAAAAACAAGTCCTGTCTCCATCAGAATCCTGGTCAGAGGAGACAGGCGGGTGTGTGTCAAAGATGCAGCCCCATGGACCCACTGCATGCAAGCTGTTTGTGTGGCGGACCTGGCAGGAAGCTCTCAAGGGCCAATTGGTGCAGGCAGAGGGTGCTCTGGGCCCCCATCCCTCCCTAACCCTGGGAGAGGAGGGAGTCGGGAACTGAGTGGTCCTCGACACCACATTCAGGCCCCCATTTCTCAGCCCCAAGGACAGCTCTGATACTACAGTGCTGGTTGTTGGAACAGTGGGAGTGAGCTATGGACTGTTAAATGCGTGCCGTTCCCCTGCTTACTGGCCATTCAGAAGACCACAAGTTAGGATCACATCCTTGGAAATGTACACATGTCCTTTAGCCATTGTATTGATAACCCCAAGAAAACAGGTGGGCAGCCAAGGCCACACCAGTGTAAATGACCAAGAAAAGAGCAAAACCGTTGTCCACTAGCTTGTAACCCAGGGACAGAAAAGGGCTGGAGGTGTTACTTCTCTAACCCAAACTATTCCTTGTCCTCCTGGCTCATCCAGTGGCTCAGGTGCCTGTGTGGGCATGTGCCCTAAGTGTGGACACAAGGCATGTGGGAAGGTCGCTATTTGTGGGAGAAGGATGGAAGTCAGGGCCACATGGAGACCCACAGCAGGACCCCAGCCCCTCTTGGCTAGGTTAGAGATGTGCTTATAATTAGGGGAGGGTAAGCCTCACCTGGAGTGTGAAGGTTACACCTAGGGCCATTGTTGAGTTTGGAAAGAGGACACTAGCAGTCCAAGGTTGTGGCGGTAAGATCAGACTCCAGGCTGTGGTGGGATGTTGGTGGATTTCTTGTTGGGGAGCTGTGTTTGTTGGGATATGGAAGGTGGATCGAAGGGGAAGGAGCTGAGGATTCTCTCTGAGCCCATGACCCTGCTGGCTTGTCTATGTGGCCAGACAGTGGGCAAGGGAGCAGGGCTGGACCTGGGGAATGCAGCACAGGTGGGGGATGGAGTAAGTGCAGTAAGGTAGGTGGGCCATCCCTGCTCATGTCCTGTTGGATGTGACGCTTCTGTTGGGTGATTATTCTTTTTGGCTGCCAGAAGCCCCCTTTACCTTAGAGTTTGCATGAGGCCCTCCTAAAGGAGTGGGGGGAGTTCTGGCCGGCACACGCTCCCTTAGTCCCTTTGGGGCTCAACGAATTATGGTCTGGGGTGAGAGCAGGTGGGGGGTCCTCCGCTCCAGTGTTGGCCTGGGGCTGGCCAGAGCTGAGGGGGCAGGGCCAGCCCCACCCAAGTCAGTGCCTGCAGATGTCAGCTTTCCGTCGCCACAGAAGGGAGATGGCTGGCCTACTTGCTGTGACTGGCCCACACAGCACACAGTGAAGGGAGGAAAGCCTCAGTCTGGGAGATGCCAGGCTGGGGCTGACTCTGACTCTGGCTGACCATACTGCGGACCTTGAGGAGAATATGGTGCGATTGTAAAGTTATTGCTGTGTGAATTAAGCTTTGTCCATAGAAACTTGACACTTTTTGTAATAAATATTTTTACTATAATTACCATGAGTGTTCTTGTGTCCTGAATGGGGGAAACTGAAGTTATTTGGATTAAGGGAGATGACCATCCCTCATTGGAGCTATCGAATGGGGAAGTCACGTCTACACTGACCTCTCAGCTCAGACTCAGGGCCTGAGTGTCTGGCCCATCTCCCCCCTTTCCTCCCCATTCCCGGCTACCAAACTTCCCTATTTTGTAGGTGGTATCATTGTCCCAAAGAATCCCAAGGACCATGTTTCATAACCAACACCTTCTAATTCCCAAATGTCCCAAGTGGGACTCCTCTTTCTCCCAGGCCTCTCCCTCCTAATTCTTCATTTCTGTCCTGGTCCCTCCCCCTCCCCTTCCAGTCCCCCAGGGTCCCACCGTCAGCGTCCTCTTCGGCTCTTCCCTCACCCTCACCCCCCCACTTTCAATCGGTTGCTGACTCTTGTTTCTGTCTCCTCCACAATTCTCACCTCTGTTCTCTTCTGCCCACCCACACAGTGACTACCCTGATTCAGACACCTCACCTTATCCATGGACCACTGCATCCTCCATCATCTCCTTGTCTCTGGTCGTTCCCTCCACACAGATGCCAACATAGTCTTTCTAGAGTCCAGGTCTGACCTTGACTCTCCCTTGCCCCACATCTCCCTGTAGCCCCCTAGGATAAGCTAGAAAATGCTCAGCCTTGCATTTAAAGCCCCTCCCAGCTTGTCTCCTGCCTCCCATCATTTCATCTTATCTCCTTTCACACACCCCACAGTCCCCTTCAGCCTGCCTGTCAGCCATCCCCTGTTGGATGCATGGCTTCCTCACCACCTTGGGCTTCCTTCAGAGCTCAAGCTGGGGGCCATCACTTATGGGGGTGCTTTACTCATCTGCTCTGCCTCCTGGAGTTAGGATGTGTCCATATCGCACTCTCCATCATGAAAAGACTACAACATATGATGGAATTAAATGAGACTGAACACAAGTATCCAATGGGGAAGACATGAATAGATAACAGCTGTCCTGAAAAAAGATCTGGGGCTTCCAGTGGACCACAGGCTCAACCTGAATCAGAAAAATGATATATCAGCCCAAAAAAATGTAGCTTTGGGCTGCATTAGGAGGGGCAGAGCTTCCTGGAAGAGGAAGGGGACAGTCCCACTGTCCTCTCTCTTCATCAAACCTAATCTGCAGTTTTGTGTTCAGTTCTGTGTACCCCACATTAAAGTGTGTCCAGGAGGAGGGCAGCTAGGAGGCAGAAGGGCCTTGGGTTTGTCACGTGAGGATTGGTTAAAGAAGCTAGGTATGTGTAGCCTGGTACTCACCAGGCATTTGCCTCGGCTCCTACGTCCTGTGTGGCCAGTGGCTAGTGTGCTGGCGAATGGGCTCCAGGAGAGCCTGGGAGCTGTACCTCCAAGGAGCTAGGGCTTCTTCGTGGTTATTCACAGTGAGACTGTCAAGGTAGACCAGGTTCAGCCCCACCAGAAGTGTATCAATTCAACACCAAACATTTATTAAGCACCACCTACATGCCAAGTCCTAAGTCAGATGCTGGGGATGCACAGATGAGGGGGCCTGACATTTACCGTCACCTGGATCATCAGACAGAAATCACACATCAAAAGTGCCAGCAATTTGGTCAATGTTTGGAGACCATCTGAAAACCCTGGTCCTCAGTTACCTCTGCCTTCTTTCCTGTGGCTCTATTACAGGTCCCATGGAAACAGATCCTGGGGTCATGAAAGACTGAAGCCCACTTCCTGGTGTTGGGCAGAAGCCACACCTTTCTTACTAAGGGCCCACCTGCTGGTGATGAGCCTTCTGTCCCTGCCTAGGCAGACCCAATGGAGCCTACATCACACCAATGGACCTCCTGGGAACCTAGGATGTCCTCCACGGATGGAGTGAGGCAGAGAGAAGGACCCCACCAGGAACACAAGAGAGAAGCTTGGTAAGTGTCCATGTCCACTGGAAGAAGATATGGTATGTTGAGTGATGTGGGATGGCTCCCCTGAAGCCAGAAGGACGCAGAGGGGCAGAGGACCCAGACAGAGAGAGAGGGAGACAGACAGACAGACAAGGAGACAGACAGAGGGAGGGAGGGAGGGAGGGAGGGAGGGAGGGAGGGAGGGAGGGAGACTGAGAGATGGAGCCACAGAATTCAAACCTTTTTCATTCACACTCAGTTGTTTTTGCTCAGCAGCCAATCAGAGGACTTGACATCACCATAAAGTTTTCAGACAGGAAACAGAGGACACCCAGCCATGCCTCCTCTGAAGTGAGGGCATTACCCCTTCTGTTACACGTGCTTGGACAGCCTCTCCAAGCCTTCCCCTGCGGGATTAGAAGCCAGGAGAAACTGTCTTCTCATGCTTTGTGTAATCCATGAGGAAGGGAAGAACTGGAAATTCACTCATCACATAAATAAGTGCAAATATACATGCATATACACACACACAAAATAACTACAAGATAATCTGGAGCAGAGGAGAGACTAGCAGCCAGGGAAGGGGGGATGGATTCTTAGCGATGGAGGGGAAGGAGGAGAGCCCCTCAGGTGAAGGGGAGCACCAGGGCAAAGGCATGGAGATCGGGTTTCATGTGAGAGAAATGACCAGATGGCCCATTTTGCCACAGCCTAGAGTATGGGGAAGGTATGAAGTCTGGAGCAGTAGAATGCACTTCATTTGGAGGGATTTTAAATGCCAAACAGAGGAGTTTGTATTTTATCCTATTGAATGTGGGTATGTGTGTGTGGTGGCGAGACATGGCATGGTCAGACCTAGGCTTTGGGAAGATCACACTGGCATCTGGGAGGAAGCTAGACTGGCATGGGGAGAGGTCTGAGGCAGAAGACAGCTACTGCAGTGGTCCACGTAGGAGCCAGTGAAGGCAGCTGTGAGCAGAGAGAAGGAGCTGGTTGGGAAGGTTGATGGGGAGGTCTTGGCAGATCTGGAGGCATGAATTTGGGAATCATCTGAATAGAGATGATGGTTGAACTTGGGGAAAGGAGGGACTGGTGAGTGAGATGCCAAGAAGGCATAGTGAGGAGAGTGCAGAGACCCAACCTTGGGGCTCCCTATTTAAATGGGTCAGAGAGAGGGAGCGGCTAGAGAGGGTGGAGGAGAACCGGGAGCACTCGGCATCTCAGAAGCTGAGGAAAGGGTGGAGATGGGCAGCAGTGCCCAAAGGTGTGAGGAGGGAAAAGAGGGGAGGACAGAAGATTTGAGGGAGAGACAGCTCAGAATGACCCTGGAGCTCACTGGGTGTTTGTGTGGCACAGCTGATTCTGGCTCATGGTCCCGTGAATGTCCTCTTGTTCAAAGCTGTCCTGGGTCCGTATCTGAAACCCAGGGGCTCTGGAACAGAGGAAAACAGCTCCCATGAAAGGAGAACCCCAGGACCTGATGTGGGAAGCTCCTGTAAGGCACGCTCCACACACTTGACAAGCCTTCTTTGTGGACCTGCTGCTTTGATTTCCTATACGGTGTTCTGGGAGTGCTCTGGAAGAGATTTCTATTCTACCGGTCTCCCAGCTGGCTTCTCTCCGAGCATCGGCTCCTTTCCTAAGCATGTGAATGAGGAGAGCCAATTTCCTGACCAGACCATGGCCTAGGTCATAATCCAGATTATTTTCATGTGGGGTGTTAATAAAATTATGCTCCTCAGTGGTCCCCAACACTAACTGCTTGCACCAGCTAAAGCTCAGTCTCAAATGTTGTGTGCATGTGTGCCATGGCTATGCACGCCTGTACAACACATGTGCTCCATGTGTACATTGTGTTCCTGCGAGGGTGCACGTGTGGGCATCCCTCTGTCCTGCAGCATCCAGGATATCTGGACTGTGAAAGGATCCAAAGTCTAGTCTCCACCATCTTTGAACCAAGGTGACAATCGATGCCCCGCCATTAGCCCTCCCTTGGGGCTGGGTGATGTTCATCTTTCTCAGAACCGCTGAACCAGGGCACACAGACTGGCTTCTGCTAGCAGAAGCTGCTCACCTCCTGCAGGAAAAGCCCAGGATGAGGGCTAGATTCCTGAGAACACCCCAGTGTGACCCTGGACCTGGCCCTTGGCCTTGGTCCCTGTGTTCTCTTCCATCTGGTGAGGCTGGTGGCATGGCGGTTGTCCACAGCAGCTGATGCCACGTTGTGCCAGGAAGGTGTTTTCCCCAGCCCTAGAAAGTCCCGATGCTGCTTTCTGAGGACCAGCCTAGTTGAGGACAGAGAGTCCGGGCTCCCACAGGCCACTAAGGCACGGATCCTTTGGCTGTGGCAGCCAAAGAAGCCAAGACTGATAATAGATAGACGGCCTCTTCGGCAGTGATGAGGCGGGTATGGGGATGCCAGGGGCCAGCCAGCAGTCCCACTGCTTCCGGAACCTTTTCAAGCATTGGCCTCACAGAGGGTCCTCTGAAGGCGGCTTCTCATCCAATGACCGGAAAGCAGACACATCACTGGGAGAAGCCAACTGCAAAAGAGTGACCTGGGATGGGAAGACAAAGGGTGCTGAAACTCCAGGACTGGCCGGCGTCCACGTTCTCTGGGGAGCGGCCCAAGTTAGGTTCACTGCAAGGGGCAGGTGGGCAGGACAGTGCACCTGACCATGCCCAGCATCACACGAGGGGTCTGCCAGCTTCTGCCAAAAGCCCTCCAGGTCGGAAGAGCCCTCCCCAGTCAGAGGCCGCCCAGGGCCTCTGATTTCTGCCACGCCTCGTTCTTCACCCCCACTGGAACCTCCAGACCCTCGGCCCCTGCTGGGTCTGCCAACTCATGTCCCATCTCTGTCTTCCCTCTCACTCTCGACCCACTGGCGCTGCCAGTGACCCATGAATCCCTTGTCCCTTTGCTCTGGCACACAGCCATGACTACTAGGCCTCCGGACCTATCTGTCACCTGGTCCCAGTCTTCCATTCAGCTTTGCAGCAGTCCTTGGCTTCTTCCCTGAGTGCCAATCATGCTCTCTGCAACTGCCCTTACAAACCTCCTCCTCTCCTTTCTCTTCCTCCTCCCCTCCTCCTCCCCACCCCA